GTTGTCCAACTCTTTTTTATAAGTGGTCTTTCACAGAAACATGATAAATTTATACTAAGAGTTTAGACTCTTCTGCCATGTTGAGAAATGTGGTGCATAATTGTAATCTATAACTAATCCACTATGCAAGAGACTGCCAAAAGAGTTCTGCTAACATCTAGTTCCAGCTGATTAAATATTTCCAAGGTAGCTTCTCCCTATTATTCTACCCAACATCTGGAATCCAGCATTCTCTTTTGCATGCTGTCTCAAATGATGTTGAGTTCATATGTGCGGCTGCACTACTATGCCCAAAAGACACTGTTTCTTTTTACACTTCTACTGATTCAGGCTCTTTTGGTCCTCTCTTCTGTAATAATCTTTTAGCATGAGTTGGAATGAATGTGGTACATATTTTCCATTTAGGACTGAATATTCTGAAGTGTCATATTATCTTCACATTGGCCAGTTATGGATCTCAGTGTTGAGTTTCATCTACTGCAAATGAAAGTCTCCCAGATGATGATTAAATGGTACATTGATTGTCTATGAGTTGTAATGAAGTCTTCATATGTCTGTAAGAATACACAAGGTTTAATTTTATTTCCGAAATATAGCAGCATATAGGAGGTTAGGGAGATGGCTCAGTGGATAGAGCATTTACAGTACAAGTATAATGAATGGAGTTTGGACACTGAGCTCTGAAATGAAATTGAATCAAAATAAGTGTCAGCACCACAAAATAAACAATCAGAGAAATGATACTGTGGAGAATGAAATAAACTATTGAAAAAATGCCTGTGATAAGAGGACTGTATCCAGAATATATGTAAGGAACTTCAAAAGAAATCAATAACACAAATACAAAATATCAATGTAAAATTAGCCAGTAGTGTCTAAAAACATTTCAGAAAACACACATTGCCATCAGGTAAAATGCTTAGATTACTGATTATTAAGGAAAATCAAATCCTCAAGGAACTGATATTTTTTCCCAATAAGAATGACTGTTTTAAAAACAATAAGCATCTGATAATGGTAGAAAAAGGAAAACCCTTATGCATTGTTAAAATGATTGTATGTTAGTCCAATTTTTATGGAAAGCAACTTGAGGAGTTCTTCAAAAGTTTTAATCCAAGATTCCTATATCATTCTGAATTCTTGCAAATTTCATGTATATGAAAAATAAGTGAATTCAGTATATTGAAGAGACATCTTCACTTTTATGTTGATTAGGGCACTCTTCACATTTGACAAGAAATGAAAATAAACTAAATATCTATCAACATAGTTCCCAAATGAAATATTGTAATTATACAGAACAAAGTAATATTCAGTTGGACAAACATTAAAAGACCATTTTTAGCAGATAGGAGAAACTAGCATGTATGATATGAAAAAGACAGGTCTAGACAAATAATATTACTTGCGAACATGATCTAAATAAATTAGTGTAATTAAAGCTGAGAGAACTGAATGATGAATTCCAGGGGCTGGGTATTATAACAGGGTGAAGCTACTTTGGAAATGTTTACTCAATGGGTGCTAAGTGATAGCACAACAATTTTGGCAATCTCTTGCATGGTGGATTAGGTATAGATTATAATTATGCACAGCATTTCTCAAAATGGTAGAAGAAAACATTTGTAATGTTCTGATATATTATATAATATATGCCCATGTCAAAAAAACTATATGAAATCCCATTAATGTGCACAGGTTTATGCTTTCATATGTCAGTTAATATATCTGAGTTCTCAAGTCTAAGCTTTATTTGATAAATACTATGTAATTTTGTATAAAATATAATACTATAATTCCCATTATTATAGACAAAGGAGGGAAATGCACGAAACACAGAGTTGTAATTTCAGCACTGTGCAGAATTATAAGAAATTTGAATTCAACCTGTGCTACATTGTGCCCTGTCAGAAAACAACAACAAATAAAAAGGTGTACCAACATAGAAAAGTAGAGAGACAAATTGGTGATGTAAGTCAATTTCATAACATAATTTTCTCTTTGGTACTTTCAGTTCTGGCTCTTAAAGTAGTCATGCAAGTTATTAGAATAGCTATGGAATTACTCTATGACAAAACATAGTGCCTTTTACTTGATGAAAATTTATTTTTAATGAGAATCAAATGTATTTAGAACCTAAATAACCAATATCTTTCAGTAATAATAATCTAACACCATTTTTATGGTACAATATGACAGTTATTGAGTGAATTCTGTCCTCTATATATAATCACCATCTACTTGTTTACTAACTGAAACCACCCACAGTGGATGAAGTTTATTTCTATCTCATCAAACATAAAACTCCAAGAAATATAAAATAGTTGAATTGTTTACTGTTCATGTTAATTTTCTGAAGAATGAGATATGATTTTAACAGCATCCCAGTTTAGAGAATGTACAAGTAAGCCTTAATGTTTTTAATATTTGGAATTTAATACTGTCATTTTATGTGCTTTGATTAGAAACATGTATACATGTTTTGCCTAAGGTATAGATGTTGCTAACAGTGTAAATACTTGAGACATTTAATGTTGTACTGTAAAGCTCTCAGAGTATATAGGATATTAAAATTTGGCTGGCACAGTGTATGACTAAGCATACAATGAGAGCTATAATTAGCAGGTTAACATAACTTTTTTGTGACAGTAATTAAAACTTAGAACGGGAAATACTTAACCCATTCTCATTATTATGAGAAGAAAGATTCACTTTGTAGGTACTTATTTTCAAATTTGCATTCACAAATATCTCGATCACAGAGCCAGATGGAAAGTAAATGTACATAGTCAAGGCAGTTAAATGCCTTACATTGTGAGTACCTTTCATATTGCAACAGGATTAATATTGACTAAGAAGGAATCAGTAATTTAGAAATTACAATTTCAAGGTAATTCATCTGCTTGAATTTTTTTTCATTGTGATAACAAAATGGCTCGGGATTCTTTACAAAATCCATGAACAAAAACAAATATTTTTTTTTTATTTCCCTTGCATGACAGAGCAGAAGCCCAGCCTTATTTGACAGTTGAATTCACTGAAGCCTGTTATGTGAGCACCACGCTCTAAATAAACTAAAGAAAACACATTTATCCTGTAATGCACAAGCAAAAATAAAAGCACAATGTCTCATTTTGCTGATAGTTATTCTTTGATGCCTACTATGTATTCATTGTTCAGAAATTGTACTGAAAATAATAAGTACATAAAGACTGTTCAGAGAGGGAACAGAGTTGAAAAAGAGCAGACTGCTCTGCGGTGCTTTCTTGTTACAGTGTATTTGTCATGGATGGCTATAATTGTACATAGACACATTTTGAGCACGTATCCAGAGTGTTTCTTTTGAGAAGGAAAGGAGATCCCTGCCTGCTGTCATTCAGCACAGTCTTTGGCAGCTCTCTGGAGAGGCAGTACTGGCTTTCCGACAAACAACTTGATTTCTTGTCAAAATATCTTTTAACATCTGGCTCAAAAATATTTTTATGACAATAAGCATGCCCAAGTCTCCAGCTCAATAAGCCTGAAAATTCAATAAGTGTTTGGAATGCTGAGACTAAGCTACCTCACAGTGAGCAGCTGTCAAACAATTTGCAGAATATTCCCGCTGACCTGGCCACAGTGAACTGATGGAATTCTGCCAGCTTCAAGACATAAACAGAGAGGAGGGAAAGCCATTGTGCTCTGTGCAGATGTTCCTGTTCACCATTACACAGCAGCCTGTGCATTTATTGTGACCGATGATGAAATAAAGGGAGAAAAAGAAGCACCAGGAATCCTTGAGCTTGGGAGGGGTATAGTAGCAAGGAACCTAATGTCAGTATTAAATATATATTAATTTTTTTACTTATTAATAGGTGTCATTTGGATCAGCAGTTTATGCCAGCTTCTAGCTACTACATCACATATAGAACTGCATGTGCGGCATCTTCATTTTAAGTTTTCTTTGAAATATTTGCAATTTAGTCATTTTATTCAGTGCCACTAGATTTGAAGATATATTCCTGAACTGTATAGTAAATTGCAGTGTTCACAATGGCCATTTTTATATTCTATATGCTGTACTTATATCAGTGTTAGTTGATTTTGCCAAATTTGCTGTCTGGATGCTTTGATATATTTTCAAATATATCTTTATAATATTGATGCTATAGTAAATATAGAAGTACTCAATAAAATTCTTACAGATCAATAAAATATTTGCATTTGCAATTTAAATAATCATGCAACAGTCTTTTATTCTAAGAATGAAAATTCTTGTGCTGACTTTCCCTAATGCTATCCTCAGAATTTTCCATATCAAACCATATGTATATTACTGTCTTAACAAAACTGAAAACTTGAAGGGCAGATCCTAATTCAAATAGAATCTCTCCCCTAGGGCTTTCCCTAACACGCTTTCCCGATTTCATGCTTGTTTAGCCTGATTAGTCTTTTCCCTGACTGGAAAATGTTTATTTCTGCCCAGGCAAATTGGAGGGCGGTTTTAAGTTGGATATGATCAGTATACATTTTCCCACACATCTCATTCTATGGTTCCTGCATATTTTCTAACTCAGTGGCTCTGGGCCAGCCTCTAGGAAACTTACTGTAAAGTACTCCTCTTCATTTGAGCAGCCAAACTATCTTTAGGTATGCAGAAATTACCAACTCTTAACTTGGCCTAACAGGGTCCCAGTTGCTCCTTTCCACAGTCAGATTCAAGTAGCAGTCAAGAGCAAACAGTGGTAAAGATTCAAGTAAGGTATATAGTTAACACTGTTACACATCTGCACTAATTTACTGAAATATAGAAAACAAAATCTATGGCTTGGGATTTAAAGAAAAACATATACAACAGTCAAAATTTTGGAATCTTTATTAAATCTCTAAGCTCATAAGGCACTTTAGTTAGTGCTAAACAAAATGTAAGATAGTAGGGAATTTCATACATGAGGAAAAAAATTAGTTACTTTGAGCTCATCCTCCAACTCTTTTTATTCCCCTTTACTTCATAAAAACCCCTCTAGTTTAAGTATGGAGGAGGGTGCATTGCTCGAGTCTTAAAATGAAAAAAATATGGCAGCAGAGGTGGGCCAAATCCCAGGGGAGAAGCAAAAGGAGTAGGCATCACAGGAAATGGATTGAATGCTGGCGGTTGAGATGGCATGAAGCAATGAGAAGAGCAAGGTAAGCCCTGAATACTGGTTGACAAATGCAGAGGAGGCCTCTGCTGCCAATTTTCCATCGGGTGCCTTGGGCTTCCCAGTGGGAAAGAAACATGAGCCAGGGTGCCCTTGTATGCCATTCTACCATTTCCTGGAGTCACCTCCATCATTATCCCCGATCTAAGTGTGGGGACATATGGAGGACCTCGTGACTGTGGGCCCCTTGGTGGAAAGAACCCTTGGGATCTAGGCACAGGCATATATAGCTTTGAGCTACTGCCACTTCTCTCAAGAGCCCCACTACCAACTCTTGGGCCTCTGATCATCAGTGCCATCGGGCTTGCAGAAACTTCCTGAGACATATTAATAGAATCATGTCCCTTCTTGCTCTGGCTCTCCAGGCCCTTTGAGCTGTTTACTTCTGCTGTTGCTAGGGACTCTTCCTCAATAGCAGGTGTTAGTGTAAAAGGGTATCTCAGAGCTCTTAGATTTTCAGGAATGCGGGCTCCTGCTCTTGGCACAGTGAAGGAGGGTCTCCGGGAGACTGTAGGGCAGGCCCAAATCTCAGCATCATCTTCATCATCGTTCAGCATGGAATTCAGACACCCAAGTGGCACATTATGACTTGTCTCCCTGTTTCTATTTTTGTCCGCAGGCACCATTATGTATGAACGGCTATCGCCTCCAAGCCTTGCAAAAACAGAAATGAAATTTAATTAAAATGGAAATGCATTTTCCAGAAAATATTTCAAGCACGTGATTAAATTCCTGGAGCACACAGGAAATAACCGAGCACAGTCTTTTTGTCTTCCTTTGTATAGTGAAGCAAATACTTTCTTGGCCTATTGACATGCCCCATGTCTCCACATGTCCCTTAGGTAACAGATAATATGATCATTAATAATGGCTGCTCTGCATTCCTTTCAATTCCTTATTAGTCAGTGGTAGCAAAAAATGACTATGTGGGCTAGGTGGCTTCCTAGTTGACAGAAAATAGCAGCTCTTTCAAGTCCTTGTAAGAGCTATAACTCACTAAGCCCAGAAATCAGATTCTGGCAGGAAAGATAAGAGAAGTCTCTGGGGAGTGGGGGCAGGGACAAGGCATTGCTTTCTTTCACAGAAGTCAAAGAAAGTTTACTCATTCTCTTTGAACGGTCTACTTTTTTGCTTTATGATGCACCACATACTCAAACCAAATTGTATTTAAACTTCTTTTGTTTCATTTAGACTACATCAGAGTTTGTTTGAATAATAATTTACTCGTGCCTTAGTTCTACTGTTTAGGGCTTTTAAACTCTTATTTCAAACATACATTTTAAAATCATTAATGCTTTATCCCCTTAAAATCAGTATTCTTGTCTACAATAACATTCTTTTAACTTTTGTCCATGATCCCCACCAATACCGCTTTCAACCCTCTCGTCCCTGCCCAAGTAACACAGTAATAATATTCAATCTTTTGCTTTCAAATTTGAGCTGAGTTATACTCAGTCTCATACTTACCCATTTTCAGTACAAGCCATGTGGAAAGAAGACCGAGATCAACTTCATGAGCTTGTAGAACAAAGCAGCTGAACGCCCTCACCAGCCGGCTAGACTGGAGAGTTGATCCTTGCTTCTGCCTCAGAGAGGTTTGGCAACTGAAATGAAGCAGAAGCCAACTGCTCTATTCTACACTCAGAGATCTACTAGTGAAGTCATCAGTTGCTAGGCAAAGGAGGGAGGAAGGCAGACAACAGAGAGGGGGGGAAGGGATAAATCTGTATACTCCTTTGAAGCTAAATGTGGAACTGTTTTTGGCACAGTAAGAGTTGGGCAAGAAAAACATTTCCTAAATCCACTGTGCTGCATACCAGTTGGAAAGACAAATCATTTCAAAAAGATTTTAAAAGTCATGGAGGCATAATCCATTTCCCTGCTTTTTAAATTCTTACTGTTTTTAGTTTATTTACTTTATTTTTTTTGTTTTATTTTGATTAGTGGGGCATTATCTTTTGTTCAAAACTATTTCTGAACATCCTTTATAGAATAGAGTTATCAAGTAATCTCATGTATGTGTAAACACATATTTTATTTGTTATTATTACTTTGTATTGTGCTCAATTTTTAATATTTGAATTGAACACCCTTCTTGGTGAGTCATATCAATATTGTGAAAAATCGAAATTAGTGAATTATACAGTCAATTTGTGACAATGAACAAACTATGAAAGACACCCATGGGAATTGTACCTTTGATTTTATCTAATTTATAGTTCTTTGCTTTGTAGAGTATTCTAGTATATTAGCTGTGTATGTCAGCGTGCCATAACGCATATGTCTCTATCACTGTGTTTTTCCTGTAATGCAGCTCGAGAAGTGTTTAAATGTGGAGATTGGACAAATGCCACAATGAGTATTATCATTTTATAAATATTTGATAACAATTTGCCTTGCAACTCTGTTACAGGAGGTGCATTTGATTCTTCTAACATAAGTCCTATCTGCTCCCTTTCACCAAGTATACTTTCCTAGCTTTTATTTTCTAACATTTTTCTAAAGATTATTGCTACAAAAACAGAGACTGTAAGATTATAAAAATTGCTAATGCCACAAACATATACTGCTTCTTTTAATGTACCTAAAATTGACTCTGCAACTAGACTTCAAAATTGTCTTTTCTTTATCACAAAATCAGTATATCCTACTGTATTTCTTAAGTTATATATGCCTTACATTTTCTTAAGAAAGGATAAATGACTAGGTTCTCTGGCGGTGTGAATTACAGGCTGTTGATCCTTTGCTATAAGTCGAAAATCCATATATGAGTGAGTACATAACATGTTCCTCTTTTTGTGACTGGGTTACCTCATCATTCAGGATGGTTTCTTCAAGTTCCATCCACTTGCCTGTGAATATCAAGATTCCAATTCCCCCCCCCCTTGCAGAGTAGTATACCATTGTGTAAATGTACCACAACTTCTTTATCCATTCTTCAGTTGAGGGGTTATTAGGTTGCTTCCAGGTTCTTGCTATTACAAATAATGCTGTGATGAACATAGTTGAACACATGTCTTTATTGCATGGATGTGGATCATTTGCATATATGCCTAAGAGGGGGATTACTGGGTCCTGTGGTAGACTGATTCCCATTTCCCTGAAAAACCTCCATACTGATCTCCAAAATGGCCATACAAGTTTGCACTCCCACCAGCAGTGGAGGAGTGTTCCCCTTTCTCCCCTTTCTCCCCTTTCTCCCCTTTCTCCACATCCTCTCCAGCCATAGGTGTTTCTAATTTTAGCCATTCTGGTATCTCAGAGTAAGATGGTATCTCAGAGTTGTTTTGATTTGCATTTCCCTGATAGCTAAGGATGTTGAGCACATTCTTAAGTGTCTTTCAGCCTTTTTGATTTACTCTATTGAGATTATTCTCTTCAGTTCTGTGCCCCCTTTTTAAAAAGGGTTATTTGGTGTTTTGGTGACTAGTTTCTTGAATTCTTTGTATATTTTTGAGATCAGGCCTCTGTCAGATGTAGGATTGGTGAAGATCTTTTCCCAGTCTGTGGGCTGCCATTTGGTCTTCTCAGCTGTGTTTCTTGCCTCCCAGAAGCTTCTACTTTTGAGGAGGACCCATTTTTTAATTGTCTATCTCAGTTTCTATGCTACTGGGGTTATGTTCTGGAAGTGGTCTCCTGTGCCAATTTATTCAAGGATGCATTCCAGTTTCTCTTCTAAGAGGTTCAGTGTGGCTGGATTGATGTTAAGGTCTTTGATCCATTTGGACTTGAGTTTTGTGCATGGTGACAGACATGGGTCTATCTGCAGTCTTCTGCACACCATCATCCAGTTGTGCCAGCACCATTTGTTCAAGATGCTGTCCTTGCCCCATTGTATAATTTTAGCTGTTTTGTCGAAAATCAAGTGTTCATAGGTATGTGGGTTAATATCAGTATTCTCAATTCAATTCCATTGGTCTACTTATCTATTTTTGTGCCAATACAAGGCTGTTTTCAGGATTATAGCTCTGTAATAGAGCTTAAACTTGAGGATGGTGATGCTTCCTGAATTTCCTTTATTGTACATTGTTGTTTTGCCTATCCATATAAAATTGGTTATTATCCTCACAATGTCAGAGAAGAATTGTGCTGGGATTTTAAATGAGATTGCATTGAATCTGTAGATTGCTTTTGGCAATATTGCCATTTTTTACTATGTTTATCCTACCTATTCAAGAGCATGGGAGATTCTTCCAATTTATGGTAAACTTCTTATTATATAGGTCTTTCACTTGTTTAGTAAGTGTTACCCCAAGATACTTTATGTTGTTTGTGGCTATTGTAAAGGGTAATATTTATCTGATTTCTTTCTCAGCCCTTTTGCTGTCTGAATAAATTAGAGCTACTGATTTTCTTTGAGTTTATCTTGTATCCTGATAGTTTGCTGAAGATGTTTATTATCAGCTGTAGTAGTTTCCTGGTAGAGTTTTTTTTTTTTTTTTTTTTTGGTAACTTATGTAAACTATCATATCATCTGCAAATAGTGAATGTTTTACTTCTTCCTTTCCAATTTGTTGTCTTATTGCTTTAGCTAGAACTTCAAGCACAATATTGAAGAGATATGGAGAGAGAGGGCAGCCTTGTCTTTTTCCTGGTGAGCAATCCATTCAGTTTGATGTTGGCTGTGGAGTTACTGTATATTGGTTTTATTATGTATAGATATGTCACTGGTATTCCTAATATCTCCTTACTTTTTCATGAAAGGTTGTTGAATTTTGTCAAAGGCTTTTTCAGCATCTGCGGAGATGATCATGTGTTTTTTCTTTTTCAGTTTGTTTATATCGTGGATCACATTGATAGATTTTCCTATATTAAACCATCCCTGCAACCCAGGGATGATGCATACTTGGTACTGGTGGATAGTTTCTCTCATGTGTTTTTAGATTCAGTTTGCCAGTATTTTATTGAGTATTATAGCATTAATATTCATGAGGGATATTGCTTTGTAGTTTTCTTTCTTAATTGTGTCTTTGTGAGGCTTGGGTACTAGGTAATTTTAGCTTTGTAAAAAGAATTTTTACTGAAAATTCTGTTTATATTGTGTGGAACAATTTAAGGAGTATTGGTGTTAGCTCATCTTTGAATTTCTGGTAGAATTCTGCACTGAAGCCGTCTGGCCCTGGGATTATTTTTGGTTGCAAGGCTTTTGATGACTGCCTCTATTGAATTAGGTGTTAGGTGTATTTGTTTGTCTGTTCTTGGTTTAATTTTGTGATAGAATATTATTTAATTTGTCACTTATCATGCAGGTGAAAATGTAATTCTTAATGCTTATTGATTCTGGCATATCATATATATATATATATATATTCTTTATGTATATTAGATTGCATTGTTTCATCTGAATAATGATAGCAAAAGACTGTAGAAACCATTTAATGCCAGTTCAATAAGATATCTACTTATTTGTATTTCATGAAAGAAATGTGTAACATAAAATCAAGTAAATGAGACGAGCGACTAAGCCTGGGACACCTCAAAATTGTAAAACTCTATTAGGTATTTTAAATACATAAATAAGTACTAATACTATACTTTAGAAGGTGTTTATATATGTACTAAAATTGTGTATTTATTCCAGGTATTCAATAATGTGTTATGTGTGAATAATAAAATATATAACATATAATCCAGAGTAATCCAAAGCAATGTAAAATTACCCCTCGAAATGTTGTCTTTATAAAATAATTAATACCTATGAATTAATTCAAGGATGCCATAAAAATCTGACAATATTATTAGATGGTATGAAGCAAAAATGCAAATTGATTCTTTATCTCTGGACTTGTGGTATGAAATAGTTACTAGACATTATATATGAGATTAGAGGCATTGGTATTACTATCTCTCTCTTGCTCTCCATACAAACACATACACACACACACACACACACACACACAGACACACATGTATATATATATGATTATATGTGTAATATATAGCCTATGAGCAAAACAATTTTGAATTAAGTACTTAGGAGAATTAAAAATTTGTAGTTTGGATTTTAGTGTGAAGTAAGTCTTCTATTTGATACTAAAGTACAAATATATACTTGGACAACCTAGAGATAGATGTCAACCACACACTTAGCAAAAATCTTATATCTTTCAGAATATTTAAAAGCCAATATGAAGTGAGGTATCCACCCTGCCTGCATCTGTAGCCATTGACCACACCCATTGGGTCGTGGTCATAGGTGAGGAAGTGATGGAGGGTTAGGTTAGGTCTGGGGTCCCTGACCTAGTGCTCTCTCTTTTGGCTCAGGTCGGGTCACAGAGGACAGCCTGGGTATGTATCCTTGGAGCAGAAACTTGCTGATGATTGGTTTATTATGTAAGTGACTTCTCTCCAAATAAAATTAAACCTAGTCCCATGTATTTTAATCAGTGCATCAGTATCTAGCAATAGCACCCAACCTACGTGGACATTCATGGGACCTGGGGACTAGGTGAGGCCTCAAAATTTCATAAAAATCACCATGTGAATAGCAAAGGCTTAAAAAGTAATGTTTCCATCACTTGGCAACCAGCTAAGGAAATAGTAAAATATGTCCTACTTGTTCCCTTTATAACCAAACTCCTTTACCAGCAGGTAGTAATCCTAAAGGTATACACA